TGTCTGGCTCAAGGTCAGTGACTACACCAGCATGGACATCAGGGACATTAAGATCTTTCTTTTAGAGTTTTCTGACGCTTGGAAAATGTTTTTTCATTAAACTTTTCAATCTATCTAACAATTGACATTGTTATACCAGTGATAGTAGATCTTAGAAGTGTACATTTGAAGTAAGGACATTTTATTTTATTTTTAGGTTTCTGTGTGTATTTTTTTTTTAATTTTACACTTTAAAGAAACTGTATAAGCAAATGCAAAAGAGAGCACAAACCAGGGGTTTAAACACACAATAGAGGTTATAGCTTTCTATATAGTAAGGACATTTTGTAAATGTAGACTAGCAATGAACTGGAAGGGGAGGAGACGTGGAAAATAAGATGTTCTTTGGTTACTGTTTTGTATCTTTTTGTTGTTGTTGTTTCTAATGTGTCTAATGTGCTTAATTTGTGTATCTTTCTGGCTACATAAGCACAAGTATAAATTTAAGTTAAAGTGAAACGAGAGGATTAATTTTCAGATTTCTCTTCATGCTCAGTTGGTTAAATGGGAAATGCTGAGTTAAAAATAGGCATTTCTACATATATTTGGGAGAGGGAGTAGATGTGCAAGCTGAATTCCTCTGAAGGCAGACTCCTGTTTTCTTATTTTTTTCTTTCCAGACAGAAAGTGAAAGGGATAGCAGAGCAACTGCTGCAGCAATTTAGCTTAAAAATAACATGGCATCTGTTTATGATTAGAAGATGGGATGCAAGATTATGTTTCTTCCATCCTGTGCTGTGGACTATTTTTCTGCACCTCCCCCCCAAAAATAAGCTCTTTTGGAGGATTTTGTAAGAGTTGGTTTTGGCTTAACTTTAACCTCTTTTAAATAAAATGAGTTTTCAGGCAAATAAGGATTTTGTATAATAGAGCTGCCCCTAAACTGACAACACTGGATAGTAGTTTTCTCCTTCAATGCAAGGAGCTATTAGAGGACGAACCATGCAGGAAGATCCTGACTATTGACTCTGTAAAAGATAAATGGATGTAGTTAGGAGCATCTTTGGCTTCATCTTTTAATTTCAAGAAACTCATATTCTGAAATATACGGAATGCTGTATTTATAGTATGCCTAATCTAAAATACCTTCCTCGTTGCAGAAACTAAAATAATCAGTTAGGTAGAAAGAGAAAGAGCCTTCCCCATGATTCATTAAGTAGCAGTTTAAACTTTTAAGAAATGTAGGTACATGTTTAAATCTTCAGATGGTGAGCATCCCTTAAAATGATCTTTCGCAGAATAGAGATTGTCTCTTTAAGATGCTCCAAATGCTTGGGCACCCCAACAAGATGTATTATGTTGATGATTCAGATACATTATTCTTATACGTAGCATTGTGTTGTTTGGACATGCTTACTGGAGTAAGGTGATATAATTATTAAAGACCTTCTCCCTCCCCCGACTTCCAGCACCTCCATGTCTCTTCTGATAATCAGCTATGGAACATGGGGATATGTTCCAGAATGGGAAATGCACAGGGGTTCTAGAGGGAATGAGACTCTAGCACAATCACCAGCCAACCAGTTCTTCCAGTGATGCAGATTCATTCATTTATGACCCGAAAGAGGTATTTCTATTTACTGTAAATGTAATAGTACCTAGCTGGTCTTGGCTGATCTCAAAAAATGGAGTAAGGTCTCTTTGGATGAGACAGGGAGATCCCAGGGCTATAAGCTTGCCTTGGAAGTTAGGAAAAAAGGCAACAGTAAATGCTTCAGTAATGTTCCTAAGAAAACTATATGGACGAGTCTATAGTACATAGTCAGCGGGAGCTGAGCTTGACTTTTAAAAGATTTTATGCAAATTTAATCAACAATGATAGCCCTATTATCTGAAAATGAAACAGGTTTATTTTTTTAAGGACTGAATTGTTACACAGAAAGTTAACTTTAGAACAGTCAGTGAAAAATGCCCTGTAAATATTGTAAATAAAAATCTTTACAAAGGTTGGAATGTATGTTTTGCCTAAAAGATAATTATGATCTGAATTGATTGGTACTTATCAGTGAAAAATAGATAGTATAGACAAATACTAAGCACCCACAAGTTAATTCATTGACATAGTTCTCTTGATTGAGAGGAACTGAATAGCACACATCCCCTTCCCTTCTGTGAGTTTCACATTGCCCGGAGATTCTCTTTATCCCATCACATATGCCTGTCCAAGCTTTGTGTAGTTGCTAAAGACTGCACTGTTGCCTTTGTATCCCACTGTCAGTTTTCCATAGGCACCTGATTGGTTGATCATTACAGGTAGTCCTTGCTTAATGACCACAATTGAGACCTGCAACTCCATCACTAGATGTCATAGTCATTAAGTGAGATATCACGTGATTGCGACTTGCAATTTTATTGCTGGCTTCTCTATTGACTCTGCTTATCCGAAGCCGGCTGTGAAGTGCACAAATGGCGATCCTGTGACTGCGGGGTGCTGTGACAGTTGTAAATGCTTGCTGGTTGCGAAGCACTTTAATCTTGATCACATGACCGGGGGGAATGCTGCGACAGTCATAAGTGTGAGGACCAGTTATAAAATTACTTTTTCAGTGCCATTGTAACTTTGAACTGTCCACTAAACTGGGCAGTCATTAAGTGAGGACTACCTGTACTGACAGCAGGGTGTAGAGTTAGTGAACCTTTCTGGTTCATTTGTTATCTTTCATGAATAAAGTTTAAACTAATTGCTTTGTTGGCATGGTCCAAACAATTCCCTCACAAGCCAAATTTTTACATGTATGAAAAAGCTAGGGTTTGCTATATTAAAATAGATTTCCAGGATAAGACTTTATCTATTTTTGAAAAGTTACTGTTCTAAAATGAGAAAATAATACAATATGTTGCCATATGGTCTAGATTTAATATAAGAATAGAAGTGACTTTATCGTTATCTATACTTTATGGATCTATTTTCTGTTAGTGTTCTTTTTGCCACGTATAATTTATATTAATGACTATACAGTAATATGTTTACTTTCTTCACTGTATAATTACTTTTTTTGGTGTAAGTTTTTTTTAGTTTTGTTTTTGTATTTCACTATTAAAAAAAAATAAAAACCCCACTGAAAAACAAATTAATTATATTGTTCTGATGATAGTAAAATATATGTACCTTTAGGTTTTGTCAAAAATATTTATATGATGCTTTCACTCATTTGTCCCTGAAAAGACAGTGACATCTAATGGTTGTTTAAAGTAATTTCAAGTAACCAATTTGTTTTTATATTTTATTTTATCATCACAGTGTCCCACTGTGTTCTTGAGATGACTACAACTAAAATTACTGCTAGTTATGCTTAGGTAAATGAAAATATATTGAATTTTTTTTAACTTACAGAGGGAAAATGTGCAAATTAATGAAAAGCTTTGCTGTTTGAGCAAGTTCCTTCTGCATGTACGGTGGTGGTTAAAAGATTGTTGAGCTCTTTACAAAAGAGTTTACAAAAATTTGTGAACTCTAGTTTTAGGACTTGTGTGGAGAACAGATCCACACATGTATGGATCTGTTTTAGGTCATATTTATGCAGAAATATTGAAAATTCAAAAGGTTCATGAACTTTTAAGCACCACTGTATATGAATACTTTTATGAACTTTATTCTTTTCTTTATAGTTCTTTTTACTTTTATACTTTTATGAACTTTATTTAATTGATATTGCTTATTTTGGGAATTTGATTGATATACTCAGTGGTGTGCTACAAAGAGCTAATACTGGTTCACGAGAGTCAGTTGTTAAATTTTCAGGAATTTTGCAAGCTGGTTGAGAGCAGAGCTGAGCCATGACACCTACCATGCCAATCATCTGTTTGGCAGCTTGCAGAATGGCACTAGCAGCAATGGACTGGTGGAGCTGGTTGTTATACACTTATTAGCACACCACTGGATATACTCCACTTGTCATTTAATGTTATTTTTCTGCATTTTTGTTATTTTTCTGTTTTAATGGATGATCATTCCATCGTTTCTTCTGTGAATGGGAATGGATTGTTACTCTTTTTTCAAATGTGGATTCAGGGATGAATTGGTATATTTTCATGAATTAATTTAGCTATGAAATAATATTTGTTTTAATAAAATTGATTTAACATAGAAGTTTTTTTTATTGAATAAAGACAGCTATATTCAAGGCATATATTATGTATGTATGTATGTATGTATGTGCATACACACACTGTATTATAAAATAATGACAAAATAAAATTGCGAAGAACTGCCTCTAAATATATCAAGGGTCTCCTGCAGGGTATCTGACAAGGCTTTTGTAACAGAACCAAGTAGTAATTTACATATTTTCATCAATCTATTTGCAGCTTTTGTCTGTATCTGGTTGGCATGCCATGATAAGTTAAAATCAAATATTCTAAGAAGTCTAGTCAAATGAGATACAGTTGAACTTAAAAGAAAAATAAAGATTACATCAAGGAGGGAGGAATGTTTCCCAATACATAAAATGCGTAAGGGTTTTCCAGTACATAAATATGTAACCAGTTTCCTTTAATCTGGCTCTTCAGCTTTTTCTTTAACTCTATCTCTGTTAATTCTGTTGTTTGTTTTTAGGTACCAAAGCAGCTGCAGAATATACAAATGGTGTCTATGACATGGTGTCACCTGCTCAGTCAATGTATTTTGGCACGCTTCAAATCCTGCACCTCTTGGAAGATTTGAAGTTAGCGTTAGAAATGCTCAAGGATCCTCAAGAGAAAGAAGCTTTGCGGAACCAAGTACCAGGGGCTACAGCAGCTTGCATACATGACTGGCTAGAGGAACATCTGGTAGGTAAAAGGGAAAAAATGAATTATATTGTATTGTTGGGGGGTTTCAACTCCTGTCTCTGTAGTATTTTTGCTCTGAAACATCAGAAGCAGCCACGTAACCAGCTTCTTAGGAGTTGTTTTTTATAGGCGATACTACTTCATTAAAAAGCCAATGGTTAGCGCAGTGGTTTTCCTTGTGTGTGTCTTAGATGGTTCCAGTGTTAGGATTTCAACTAGCAGGGCTGGAAAAGATCCCTGCCAGAGACTACATCAAAATTAGATCTAATGTGGATGGACCATATAAACTTAAAAATTATGTGGATGGTATGTTTTAAGTTACTCCTCCTCCTGTCACACTAAGGAGACAGTGTGCCTGCTTTTTTGAGGTTGACACCTATAGAAATCTTCACTGGTCAATGCTGATTTCTGTCCAGCAGCTCTCCTCAAACCTTGCTCCCTCCAATCACACTTACTCCCAGTATCAGAGCTTTGTTAAAGGGAGAGGAACACGGAGTATCAGCTGCAAAAGACATTATGAGATTCATTCTTCACTTATGCACCCTTACTACTCTTAAAATCAAGTGACTTGCCACAAATTAGATTGAACTTTAAACCCACAAATCTGTAATCAGCATATCTAATTTGTTCAGATAATTTTGAAAAAAAAAAGTTGTCACAGAATGGGTAGATGGATTGCATGATTAGGATATTTGCTACTTTTTAAAGTGTGGATAGAAATTTAAGCTAGTGCAGGATATGAGACAGATTTTGGTAACAGAACAACAGGTTACATTAAAAAAGCAGTTTTATGAATGTGTCCTCCACATTAACAGGGAACTTGGTATGCAAGAGAAATTTGAAAGTTAATAAAGTATGTATTGGTGATCTGAAACAAGTTAAAATGCTGTACAGCTTTGGAATAGTTTCAGCTGGTTTGATAGCCAAGGGCCCCAGTTTCAAGCATTTCACAATTAAGGCTATAATACTGAGAACTTGTGGCTCTTGCAGATTTCAAAACACTTTGAGTCTTTCTGAATAGATTTACAAACTCTTTCACAGTAGAAAAGAGTTTTTGATCTGTACGGTACACCTCCTTAGAAATTGCTAAAAGGTACATACCTTGTTTTGTTTTGAGTATTACAACTACTCTCTTGAGCCTTAAATCTGAAGGGCTTTGATTTTGGTTATAATTCTGTGCTTCCTTTGTAGTCATCTTAATATTAATGATAGCTACAGAGCTAGGAAATTGTATTATTCTATTTGACATCTGATTTGTTGCTCTGGAATAAGCTTGCAAGGAAATGAATGTGTTGTCAGCTAATAGTAGTTTCCTGTACAGGAAATTGTCCAAAAGGAGAAGCTATATATTTTTTTCTAATTAATATTTGTCATACTATTTTTATGCTATCATTAGTTGGATTGATCTGAATGAACTATCTAAAGAGTATATATTTTCAGATATATATTTAGGTTTATTTGCAATATCTGACTTGTACAAATATGTATTGATGAAAATCATAACATTAGGAAATACTAAGGAACATATGGGTTGGTTCCAGTGGTTTGCTTCCACAGGATAATGAAGCTTCAGAGTACTAATGTAAACATAAATCAACTATGAACTCTATACTGTTCTCTTTTTTTAATTAAATTATTTTAATCTTCATTTGGAATATGACCGTTTTAAAATCCTTTATCAGATTGGTCAGGCAGAAAAAAGAAATCTTAATTTATTATACGTAACTTTGTCCTCCTAGAGTAAGGCTCCCTTAGGACCTCTTCAAGATGAAAAGCTTTGTAGTGTTCTGATAGACCGGCTCTGTATCATAAGAGCAACACTCAGCTCTCAACATTTTATGGAAGAGATTATTAGGAAGCTCCAGAACTGGATACAAAGAATAGACTTTGCTAACTTTGCATTCCCATTAAGAAATTAATTTCGTGGTTACTTTTTAAAATAAGTGGAGCAGTGGCTTTCCAGTTGCACTTATGGGCTTTTTTCCAGTAAAATCAATTAGGGCAGAAGCTTTCCTAATGCTTTCCCCATCATTAACTTTTTTCTCTTATACTTTTAGGGTTGGCACATTGTAAATCACAGTCTGTTTACATGAGACATCACAGCTGAACTACCTTAGAACAGGTCTTAGAGTCATCTGCAGTGTATACAACAGATTTAATTCATGTTCTGTGAAATCTTTGGTGCAGTCTTCCACTTCACTAGTAACTTAAAATTCAAGATGATTCAAATTTGAAATATTTCATATACCCCTAGAAAGACTAATCTGTTACTTTATAATAATATAGCTAAAATTATAAAGTTTGCTTGATTTATTTTATTAGTTGTCTTACTTTGCTCTAGCTCTGCGCAAAGTTAGCTTCCAAAGCTATACCTTTAGACTATCATTATTAGAAACCATTTGGTCCCCAAGTAGGAAATTAAATAACAGGATGATAGCAGCAGAATGTTTACTTGCTCTAGAAATAAGCTTTTGTATGTAACAGTTACCTTCTTTTCCCCCATGCCTAAGTTAATAATATGATTTCTAGGCAGTAGTTTAAAATACCTTGAAATACTCAGGGATGTGTACCCCAGATGTTCTCCATCAATCAAGTTGGTCTCTTTCTACTTTATTGCTTTACAAACAAACCTGAAACTTAATGCTTTTTTTCCTACCAGCTATATCAATCCCACAGAGAAATGTTATGAAGACAGTAAAATGAGATTTCGTAATTTGAGTAATACCTGTCACCCATAAGCCTTTAGTTCAAATATGACTACAAGTTTACAGTGACTCAAAAATGTTTAGCTAGTAAGTGATCAACAAAACTTGAGGTCAAAGTTTCTGGTTGTAGTCCTAGTGCTTCATTACAGGTCTCTAAAGTCCAACAGTCTGATTACCACCCCCTTTTTGTGAACTTTAGAAATATTAAGCACTTCAGTGGATATCTTTAGCAAATATTATCACTGGATTGCATTTCTAATATTAATGGTAAAAGATAAATAATGCAGTTGTCACTAAGCTATTAATGACATGTTCTGGTCTTAGTTTCTGGGTTTTTTTTTTTTTTCCTTCTGAGTTAAATACTTTGATTTCAGTATGGAAAAATTGAGTGTAGAGGAGATGCAGGCAATCGTGTGCAGCTGGGGGCTCCATTCCTATCACTATTTACCTTTCTGCAGGATACAAGGTGTAAGGTAGTGATTCTTTAATATTAACTTGAGGGACCAAGGTCTGAAATTTGTCTCATTTCCTCCCCCTACTTTTCCTTAGTGTGGATGTATTTAAAAACTGCATTAAGATTTCATGCATTTTCTGCTGAAAATCAGTGGGAAATTATACCTCTATCATCTGGCAGCTTTTGCTGGTACAGTTTTGGTGGAGCTGCCATATAAAAATTCCCCTCTCACCCCTATGGGTGGTACGTGTCTTCCTCAATCTCGGGTCCTCTACCAGACACCTGGGAGTTTGAGGGTT